ATATATATATATATATATTAGTGGTGTCAAAATTAGCGTGTTAATGCAGGCACATTTTTTTTCAGTTTAACGCATTAAAAATATTTAACGCAGGGGCAGGGTTAGGGTTGGCCACCCCACTCACGTGGTCAGTTAAGTCATGAAGTTACCAAAAAGGCGATTAAAGCTGCCTTAAAACTGTGCATGCATATATGAGTCACATTTAAGAACATGTCTCTTATGTCCTGGAGCAGTGAGCACTGTCTCACTCATCTAACACACCCGATTCAACTCGTGAGCTCGTGTTTATTTTAGCACTTCAGTCAGTGAATACGCAGCCTGCAAAACACTAAAATAAATATCAAAGAAATAATACAGTTCAACGAGAAAGTACTAACTAAATACTATAAAACTCATTATAATCAGTGATGCTACACTGGATGCGGCTCGACACAACATGACAAATCCCCGACGGTAAACTGCCTCGTTCTGTTTATGAGGTACTGACAGAGTTCAGATGTCCTGTGTAGACACTAGACAGACTCAACCTGTTGCGACGCGGCGGTGTCGCGTCCGGTGTAGACACGGTTCACTGTTCCGCTACTGTTATTACTGTTATTACACTTGTATACAAAACTTCGTATTATGCTTGTTATAGAGTACGTGACGTCACGTGCACTACCGCCGGTGGCAGTAGACAACCGCGATGGCAAGCGACCACCGTCACAGCCCTAGTGTGGATTACTGTGGTGTTTTTATCAGCTGTTTGGACTCTCATTCTGACGGCACCCATTCACTGCAGAGCATCCATTGCTGAGACACTGATGCAATGCTACATTTCTACAAACCTGATGAAGAAATACAGCTTGGGTGACCTGAGGATGAGCACATTTTCAGCAATTTTTCATTTTTGAGTGAACTATTCCTTTAATGTTGATGCAACACTTTGATCCAAAGTAATTAGGTTAAATTAGAATCATTTTGTCGTTTTGCAGAGTGCAAAATCCTGCATCGTATGATTCACCGCTCATGATTAATTCTGCGTGCATACTTCCAAATAAGCACACACGCATGCACAAACATGCAGGACAAAAAGGCCTGATTATGTCAAATTCATAATTTAATACTTGGTTTAATTTTTGCATTATTGCTCAAATTGAAATGACTGCATCGCTGCAATATTCATCATTTTCCCACTGTAACCTTGTGCATAATCTGCTGGGTTTTTCCAATTGCCCAAAATGAAGTAGGATTGTTTTTGATGTGCTATCCGGGTTAAAATCCCAAAGATAAACAGAGATGAATAATCTGAGAAAATGTGTCGGGGATTAAATGTCATCTAAATCAGAGCTCCGGCAGAGAGTATGATTTCCATCTCTCTGATTGTCTATTTTTAGCGTTGTGCACATTACACATGCTCTCTTTGGTCTCTTGTCATCGTTTGAACTCACTGACCTCATTTCCTAACCTTACAAATGAAACTCTCAAATGTCATATTTCACATGCATTTGCTGTTTTATTTGCTGGTCAGACCGAGCTGATGTTTGAATGGAATTTTTTTTTTTTAAGGAAAAATGTTTCATATTCTGCACTGTTTCTAGGACACTAAACAATTAAGCACATTCGTACAGACGGTCAGATCTTCTTTTCCAGAAAATAATCTTAAATTATAAAACACGATCATCAGATTTTAATCGTTACTCCAGTGCTGCTGTCAAATCAGTGTTGTTTTAGCAGCATTTATGTACTATTATGGCTTTTGTTAATATTTTTAATTAGATTTTTTACATTTTCTTTTTTCATTTTAATTCTAGTTAGTTTTAGTAATTTTGTTGTGTTCTTCTTGTCTTTTTTTATTAGATTTTTTTGTCCATATAGTTTTTCTTATTTTTTTTTTACTGAATGAAAATGCCAAATGCCAAAGTAAAAACAAGCAAGTTTTTTTATTTTTATTTTATTTCAGTTATTTCAAATAATACATTTTACAAATATATTTTTAGATTTTATTTGCATATTTTCAGTTTTCTTTGTCATTTTAAAGTTTTAGAAATTTTACTTTATTTTTTCTTATTATATCTATATCATTTTTAAGTTTTACTTATTTTAGTATTTCACATAAAACAAAAATGAGAAAAGTTACCTTGACAACTATGTGAAAAAAGTTTGAGGGTTTTTAATTTTATTTGAGTTGATGATCTTATTTCAAGTAATATACATTTTTTTATTGTTTTAATTCTTATTTTTATATTTTCAGTTTTCATTTTAATGTTAAAGTTTTAGTAATTTTGTCGGTTTTATAACTTTATTCGTTTTTTTTTTGTTATATCTGCATAGTTTACAAGTTTTCGTTTTTATTTTAGTACTTAAAAAAAAGAGAAATTTTGCCTTCACAACTAGTTGAAATAAAATTAAGTTTTTATTATTTAGGTTTTTTACATTTTATTTCAGTTAGTGTTTTCTTATTTTAAGTAATGAATATCTTTTTTTTTTTTTTACAGTTTTTGTAAATTTGTTAGATTGTATATTTATTTTTTTATTTTAATTTTAAGTTTTTTTTATTAGATTTTTCGCAATTTTACTAGTTTTTTTATGTCTATGTTTTAAAGTTTGAGTTATTTTAGTATTTCAACTAAACAAATGAGAAATGCTGCTTTGGCAGCTAGCTGAAATAATTTTAAAAATATTTTATTTCAGTTAATATTTATGTTTTTATTTGTAAGCAAATAAAATATTTTATATAGTTTTAGTTTTAGATAACGATAATAACCCTGCATTAAAGCCATTTCATGCTCACTTTCACTCATAATGTCATTATCATTATAATCATTATCTTTATTTGACCCTCTAACTCTAGCACTCTCTATTCTAATTCTATTCTTTAAAAAAAACTACCACTAGCTTTCTAATCTTTTTGTATTCTATCTGTTTTCTTTTCATTTATTATACAATTAACAAAAGCAAAAAAGACCTCTAACACTAACTCGCTCTATTCTTTTTCTATTCTATCTGTTTTCTTTTTATTTATTATATGATTTAAAAAAACCTTGTTACGTGTTCTGCGTTAAGCTAACTGAGACTTGTTATAGCACTTGCATATCATTGCTCTTTTGTTGGTGTTAATTGCTTCTGTTGTCCTCGTTTGTAATTCGCTTTGGATAACAGCATCTGCTAAATGACTAAATGTAATGTAAATGTAATAATATCATCTGATAATATCACTGTAGCTGTAACATTTTGTATTAAACTTGCTAAATGCAAAATAAAAGCATTTTCACTGATGGTCTCCACTGCTCATGTTAAGCAGAAATGAGTTTGGAGCTCATCGAACGGACTTGATCTGCTTTTTTTAATACCAAATCCGTGGCAGACGCTTTCCTCCCTCCCCCATGACGAGCGTCAGCGCTCAGGCCCGCGGACACACGACGCTTGACATGCTTAACGACAGACCGGCGCATCAGTGCATGAGTCGCGCTTCAGATGCCGCAGCTTCTCCAAACTCAGTTATGGATGTAGGATATTTGGTAGAGGACTCAGTTCTGCTGTTTTCCCTCAGTGAGTTAAACCGTGCTGATATGAAATGAACTGGCGTTTTACAGAGCTTTCTTTCTGCTGTTGTTTTTCCCCGCAGCACATGTTGGATTCCAACCTCAGCAATCTGATCAAGAGGAACAGTGAGCTGGAGAACCTGATGGCCAAGCTGATCCAGACGTGTCAACATGTGGAGGTACTTTCATCTCTGCACGAGTCAAACACAAAAAAGCGTTTAAGCATAAAAAAAAAAATGTAATACTGCTTTAAATTGTTGTTGTTTTTCCCAAAAAAATTAAAAAGTTTTCCGTTTAATTTAATTGCAATTTTGTTTTTGTTTTTCTGAGCAAAAAATTAATGTCATACATGTTTCCCCTGATTTACAGAAGAGAGTGTAACAATCTTGTCAGGCATATTTACAACAAAAATCTATTTATGACATATTAAAAGACTAATTAGTTTCACCCCAGCTACTAATTAGCTGCAATTTTTTAAAATGTGCCACTATCCTAGATTTTGCCCGTTTGTCAGTAAGAATTTGTACTCATTTAAAACACAATAAAATTTAACAAGCTCTCTTATTCTTTTATATATTTTAATCTGCACACGTCAGAATAAGCATGTCATTTGAATTTTTACATAAATATAAGTGTTACACTGAATGACAATGTAACATTACTTCAACCAAATTGTGACATTTTATTCTCCAAACACTTATTTGAAACCTTAAAAGTAGACACTTTACTTCATTCAATGTGCTTTCTATGGACATATAATCACTTTTGTACATTTCTTTTGTGCGGACGTCTTAACGTCTTTGACCCAAATACAGTCCTTCAGATGGATTATTACAGCTCTTTAGCTTATATCGGCTTAAATGAGTTCAGTATATTCACTTTAGTGTTTCTTTTACTTATTTATCACGAAATGCAAACATTATGTGAGCCTCTCTGTGAAATCCAGGCTAAAGTCTCAAAATCTAATTATGAGATAACAAGCATCAAAGTTAGATTTGAACTAAAATAAAGTGCTTTTTCATTTCAGTTCATGTTTATCTTATTTCAAATAATGAAAATGTTTTTTGTAGTTGCTGTTTTGGGTGCTATTTTTATATTTTCAATTTAAAGTTTTAATCATTAACTTTTTTTGTGATTTTATTATTATGTTTGTATTCATTTTTCTAATGATATCTATATAGTTTTAGTTGAAAACCAAAGTTGAAAATGAGAAATGTTGCCTTGGCAACTAGCTAAAATAAAGTTGAAAAAAAATAGTTTTGTTTTATTTCAGTTAATGTTTATCATATTTCAAGTAATGACATTTTTTAATAGTTTTATATTCATTTTAATTTTGTTAGTTTTAGTTTGTGTTTTTTATGTGATGTCTATAAAGTTTAAGTTTGCACGGGAAAATAGCTCAAATAAAATAAGTTTAGTTGTATATTAAAGAAATTAAGCCTATTTTAGGACCATTATGATTTTTTTTTGCATTATTTTGACATTATTAGTCAGTTTATAATGAAGTAAATCATTAAAGTAAGTACAATTTTTTAACTTGTTTCATTTAAGACCGCTGATATTCTGCTTTTATTATACAGCTATTTTGATTATTATTATTAATAAATATGACTTATATAAAATATTGATGTATTTTATTATATCACTGTTGTTTTTGTTCTCTAAAACCACATGTAGCATGATTTTAGGCATGCAATGTCACGCTACCGGCCTCCAAATTATGCATTTTGATTGCTTTGTTTGTTTGTTTTATTATTTCAGCACAATGCGGCTCATCAAGAGAGCAAACTGGCTGAAGAGTGCGACACACTGATAAACATCGTACAGCAGAGGAGACAAATCATCGGCACTAAGATCAAAGAAGGAAAGGTGCTTGAGCAAAAACGCATTAAATTGATCAGAAGTGACAGTAAAGACATGATGTTACAAAAGATTTCTGTTTCAAATAAATGCTGTTCTTTTGAACTTTCCGTTCATCTGTGAATCCTGAAAAATAAAACATATCACGGTTTCCACAAAAATATTGTGCAGCACGACTGTTTTCAACATTGATAATAATCAGAAATGTTTCTCGAGCAGCAAAGCAGCATATTAGAATCACTGATCACAGAAATGAATTACATTTTAACAGATATTGACGTTAATATATTTCACAATTTACACAAAATTGAAAAAAAATCATATCTACTTTCTTAATGTGTGTTCCCGGTCTTATTGTGCACGATTCCTCGGTTATTCCACAAACACAAAGTTTGCATGTGTAATATTTTATCAAAAGTTTAATCTTTGTTTGTCATCATTAGGGCTGTCGTGATTCGTCGATTTTATTCGACTATTCGATTTTTAAAAATCCTCGACTTCGTTTTGCTCTCGTCGACTAACCGGCAAAATACCGGAAGTGGCGCATTTCACGGACGAGAATCCATAAAACACATTATTAGACTGTTTACCAAGGCTGCATGATGTATTAAACCCATTTAAAAGTCATAATTAAGCATAATTGTGAATTCACAAATGCTACGATTTAATTAAATAATTATATGCGATGCAGTTCTAATACAGTATATGCGCTTTAAGTACGTGCGTCACACAGCGGCTCCGTTCACAGTAGCTACACAGGAACTGTTATCATTTACATGTGTTTTGGTTTATTATAACGTTCATCTGGGAACACAACGTGCGCCATTTCATCAGATTTGTAAGGTAAATCATTTATAAATCTACGCAAACTCAGGAGAATACATCGCGGTTTCAAAATAAGTTTACACGTTTTGGTGTCCACATATTCTTTTAATTACAGTGGCTATAGCATTTCTGTCCTAAAGAAACTACCAAATATTAAAGATTAAGTGGACATCTGAATGAAATGATGCTTGGTCAATATTAAACAAGTATTAGATTGCACAGTAATGTGTAAAAACAATCGTCAGGCCATTGGCGCCCTCTGCATTAGCTGATAATAATCAGAAATGTTTCTCAAGCAGCATATTAGAATCACTGATCACAGAAATGAATTACATTTTAACAGATATTGACGTTAATATATTTCACAATTTACACAAAATTGAAAAAAAATCATATCTACTTTCTTAATGTGTGTTCCCGGTCTTATTGTGCACGATTCCTCGGTTATTCCACAAACACAAAGTTTGCATGTGTAATATTTTATCAAAAGTTTAATCTTTGTTTGTCATCATTAGGGCTGTCGTGATTCGTCGATTTTATTCGACTATTCGATTTTTAAAAATCCTCGACTTCGTTTTGCTCTCGTCGACTAACCGGCAAAATACCGGAAGTGGCGCATTTCACGGACGAGAATCCATAAAACACATTATTAGACTGTTTACCAAGGCTGCATGATGTATTAAACCCATTTAAAAGTCATAATTAAGCATAATTGTGAATTCACAAATGCTACGATTTAATTAAATAATTATATGCGATGCAGTTCTAATACAGTATATGCGCTTTAAGTACGTGCGTCACACAGCGGCTCCGTTCACAGTAGCTACACAGGAACTGTTATCATTTACATGTGTTTTGGTTTATTATAACGTTCATCTGGGAACACAACGTGCGCCATTTCATCAGATTTGTAAGGTAAATCATTTATAAATCTACGCAAACTCAGGAGAATACATCGCGGTTTCAAAATAAGTTTACACGTTTTGGTGTCCACATATTCTTTTAATTACAGTGGCTATAGCATTTCTGTCCTAAAGAAACGACCAAATATTAAAGATTAAGTGGACATCTGAATGAAATGGTGCTTGGTCAATATTAAACGAGTATTAGATCGCACAGTAATGTGTAAAAATAATCATCAGGCCGTTGGCGCCCCCTGCAGGCCTTTGTTGTAATGCGTAATGTACATTAGCTCTATTTATGTATTTTAACAGTTTTGTTCAATAAAACCATATGATTTCTTGCTTTTGATACTTTATTTGAACTAATTATTATTGCCTCATTGCTATTATATATGTATTTTAAGTAATTTTAAAGGCTATTGTTCACTAACATCTATTTTTATTATCACAAAAAAATTATTATAATTATAGGGCCCTATGAAATCCATTTTTCTATACTCTTTTTTTTTTTTTTTTTAAATTTTAAAGATTTAATTGATTTTATTTAAAAAAAACTTTTTTTTTCAGAAATACTGCACACTTACATTTTTCTCCTAAATAAATTCTGGTAAATAACATTTCTGGTAAATTCTCCTTTAAAAAGTGTTTTTTGATTATAATTGTATTATTAGTAGACTAGAACACGTGGGCATGTTGTCATTGTTACACTATAACACTGAACTTTGATTTCAGTGATTTGGACTGTGAGAGATAAAGTTGCTTCTTGCACTTTATGTTGCACTTTACTTTTTTACTTTTGGATTTCATTTGGTTTAATTAAGTATAGTTTAATAAAATATTCGTAAGTAAAATAGTTGATTTTTTTGTTGTTGTGGGAAATTAATCGTTTAGATTAATCGATAAATTAGTCGATAGATTAATCGAAATAAAAATAGTCGTTAGTGGCAGCCCTAGTCATCGTCATGATGTCAATGCCCACTTTTCATAATTGCAGATGGATAAAATAACTATTTCACACAGAAATACTTTTCACATTATGCAACTAAAATGATTTGCTAAAGTGGTTTCAGGTTGACTTTAATGCCGCTTCTGATATTTCAGTTTGAATAGAGTTGATTTTTCAGAGCCCACTGGTCTTGTTTTAATCAGAAGCGCACTTCATTTTGATCCATTTCACAGAAAACAAGACTTCATATCTTATGTCATTTTGTTTCTCAAGTAAATGTGTCTTGATTTAAGAAACTTTTAGACATTTGCAATGGAAAATAAGACAAAGATACTGAAGAAGATATTCATATTTTGCAGTGTGATCAAAACAATGCAATAAAAGTTATTTCCATATTTTCTAACAGTTGGGAGCAGAGCTATTTGAAAACATTGTATTTATATAGTTTCAGTATTCAGTTTAATTTTAAAGTCTTAGTAATTTATATTGCATGATTTTTATTATTGTTTTTTAATGTTGTCTATGTAGTTTTAGTTATTTTAGTACTAGCTGAAAATAAAAGTAAAAAAAAAAAAATTTGAAGTTTCTTTTTAGTATTTTATCTTATTTCAAGTAATGGCTTTTTAATGTAGTTTTAGAGTTTATTTTAATTTTCAGTTTAAACATAGTTTAAATTTTCTTTCCGTCTTTCTTGGTAAACATTTACATTTAGAGACGATATTGTGTTCCCTTAAATTTATTCCTTAAATGTGACCCTGGAGTAGGGATGTAACGGTATGACAATTTCTTATCACGATTATAGTGACCAAAATTATCACGGTTATCGGTATTATCACGGTATTGTTAAAATGTGCTGGACATGTTCAAAAAGTACCGACACATAAATCACTTCACCAAGTTTTATATTTAAAAATCAACAAACGACAAATAAAATACTTTTTGTTTGCATAATCACTAAAACAATAACATTACCAATGATGTTCGGATTTTAAATGACAACTTGACTGACAACAGTTTAATAGCATGCTGAAATATCTAATGTAAATGTTCAAATAAAGCTTTGAAAAAGTTTCATAAAAAGGTAAACCTCACATTTCAGCCTTTAAATAAAGAAAAGCTATAAATCAAAATGATAATTGATTATTAAATGATTATATGTATTTTATCTGCTCCATAAATAATTCTAGATAGCTTATGTGTATGAATCCACATAAGCTTGTTTTTCATCAACCGGTCAATATTTACAACAGGGCGTGCAAATTCTGTCCATTTTTGGCTAGACAGAAATTGCACACAGACTGAATGTAATATAAGTCTGTGTAAATCCACTTGCTGACAGCAGGTGGCGCTTATGGAAAAGCAGAATTAGAGCCGTTTCCCGTAAACTCCGAGGACAAAGCAGTATTGCGATTAAGAAGACGTCCTTTAGGTATTACATGGAGCGAAGATGAAAACAAAATGCCATCAAATCGTTTCTGAAGACAGTCAGAACCTTCAGAGGTACATTTATATATACATTCATTATACATTGTATAATTCCCTTAGCTCTCTTTTAAAACCTCCCAGCTTTTCCGCCCTGTTTTCACTCGAAACGAAACTACTCGTATGAGGTATAAATCTTAATTTCGAAAAATGGACCCTTATGACTGGTGTTGTGGTCTAGGGTCACAAATTTACTTTGTGGTCTTAAACAGGTCTTAAAGAAGTCTTGAACTTACCTTCATCAATCCTGCAGAAACCCTGTTTTATATCTGATGACAAAATGGATAATCTTCTGACTATTTACATAGAAATTTGGTGGGAACAAGAACAGGAAAGTTCACCAAAACAAACTATTAATGCTGGTTTGGCAGAGCTGGCCTGTTTTCGTCCTCATAACGTGTGTTTGTGTGTTTCCAGGTGGTTCGCTTGAGAAAGCTAGCGCAACAGATCGCTAACTGTAAGCAGTTCGTGGAGAGATCGTCCTCGCTCATCACTCAAGCCGATCTGGTTCTGAAAGAGACGGATCACGCTCGATTCCTGCAGACCGCAAAGAGCATCTCAGAGCGGTGAGCAAACTTTACATGCAAAAGCCGTAATGTCAGTCTGGAGCCAAACTACAGGGGAAAAAACAAACGTGTGCAATAAGTGCTTTTAAATCTTAAAAGTACTAGCGTGTAACTAAAAAGGTCTCATTCACATTTAACATAAAGCTATACTATCATGCTATCTTAGCATGTCTTAACCAGCGTTGGGGAAAGTTACTTTTAAAAGAAATGCATTACAATATTGCGATACTCCTTAAAAAAAAGTAACTAATTACGTTACTTAGTTACTTTTTATTGAAAGTAATGCGTTACGTTACTTTTGAGTTACTTCTTAAATCTGGGCTGGGCTTGCTTGTCTGTTTTTGATATAAAAAAGTTCTTCTTTTACAAATGTACAAGCCCTTTCACAACAAAAGTGAGATGAATCCGCCTCACGTCTGTACAGTAGAGCGCACTGCATGAAGAATATGACGCAGGAGAAGAAAGTTCAACACTATTCAGCAATAACAAAAGTGAAACACAAATGTGTCATTTTTGTATATTAGTATGTTTGAATTGGACCATCGAAGCTCAGTAGCAAATACATTGGTTAATAAAATAGAATTAAATACATGTTTGTCTTATTTAACATATTTATTTAATGCGGGTTTGTATAATATTCTGTGTCTGCATTTGACTGTTTTTATTCATTTTGAGGAATACTGAATGTGTTTTTGTGCAGGTGAGTAAATACATGTTCATATTTAGTCTAGAGCTACAGTAAGATCATGTTCACACACAACGCTCTGCACTTACTCACGATTTCTGTCACCATGGCAACACAAGAGCTGTCAGTCAAGACATGAGAAACAAAGTAACTGGTGTTAACTCCGATATTTCCTTCTAATGCATTACTTTACCAGTTACTTAAAAAGTAATCTGATTACACAAGTTGCGTTACTTGTAGTGCGTTACCCCCAACACTGGTGTTAACCTATTTCATGTTTAAAATATATAATTCCAGAGTCTCGATGGCGACGGCGTCCTCGCAGGTCCTGATCCCAGAGATCAACCTGAATGACACGTTCGACGCGTTCACACTGGACTTTTCCAGAGAGAAGAAGATGCTGGAGGGTCTGGATTACCTTACAGGTCAGTTCACTTGTTCAGATCAGTGCAGAACGCGGATTGGATACACAATCATCGGCAGCATGCAGCTAGATGTTGCTTTAAAGCCGGGGTACTCAACAGGTGGCCCGCGGGCTGCTGCGCTATTATGAAGATTAATGTATTTTTATTACAGTTTGCGCTCACAATATTAGGCAGTTTGAATTTTTCAAATGAAATGTAGGCTATACAATCGCAGTAGTAAAAGCTGCTCGATCTCTGCAAGCGCATGTTAATTTAAGCTAATTGCAATTAAAAAGCAGCACGCCCCAAACAACTTAACAGAAAAATTATTATTATAAACATATTTTATTATTATAAAAAATACCAGAGATGGCTTGAAGAACTCGGATAAACCATATATTGTCGCGTCGTGTGTTTACCGTCGAATACTGTGGCCGAATTGAATTGAAAATGAATTGGATGCAATTCTTGAACACTGCAACTTCATAGATTGTAACTCTGTAATGATTGCGAAAATCTAAACTTCATGAAGTCACAGTTATGTAACTCTATATGGAGTTCATTTGTGCCAAAATCAGTCAAAGGGTGTAGCGATGTTGATGTTGCCGCTCTACTGTCAGAGAGTCTTGTGTGAAGCAGATGAAGTAGATGTCAGTGTTTCAGTGCTTCTCTCAGGAGCAGAAGGGACTGAAGTCAGAGCTCCTGCTGAAGCAAATATGTTTTTCTGGTTTTTATCTCTGCGAGGTCGCAGCAGACGGCCGGCTTGAGGGAGTCCTCAAACACACAGTCTGCTTTATTTCTCTGCCAACTGCTCACTGATGTCGCGCAAAATCACTTCATGCTAATAATAGTAACGTCATCCACATTTTTGCCGTATGTTTGCTCTTTTAAGGCACGAAACATTTTATGCAAAAACAAGAACGTAAAGGATTCTGACTATGTAAGTTCTATTTTATGTTGAGTAAACAGTAATATATTATAATATATATGATTTACTAGTTGTTTATAATTTAGTTGTTTTGCATAGGTTTTTTTAAATAAAATATATTAGTATATATTAGTAACTTTTTATATATATACACTTTCCTCTTTTTTTCTCAGGATTATGTATCTTAAAAAATGAATAATTAATTAATTATATAGTAAATAATAATATATAAAAATAAATAATTCTGAAATATATATATATATTAGTGCTATCAAACGATTAATCGAGATTAATCACATCCAAAATAAAAGTTTTTGTTTACATAATACATGTGTGTATATGTATCTATAACCTAAAGATGCTAGGTGAATGTTTGAAACAGAAAGTAGTGGTTTTCATCTCAACATTTTTACTCAAATTAATCAAAATTGATTTACAGCGTTTTGGAACCAAACTCTTCATATATTACTGTATATTTTATATTTTATAAATTTTTATTTCAGTTTTAGGTATTTTAGTACATCAAGTTAAACTAAATTTAAAGGAGAGATCATGAAGTGAGATCTTAGAAACAATTACTGCAGCTAGTAATGACATCCAGTTTAATGGCACAGGCATGTATTTATTTCCACCACATTACATGTTGCGGTAAGTATGCACAACACATTTGAAATGCATTAGCTTCGGCATCTGTGTTTCTGGCCTTTTGAATGCAGTATGTGTACTAGGGATGCACCGATACCACTTTTTCCAGTACTCGCCCGATACCGATACTTTTATTGTTGGTACTTGCCGATACCGAGTACCGATACCAATATTTTTATTGCATTTGTAAATTTTTTAAATACTGGGTACAGAAACCAAAAGAGTATGTATATTGTTAGTTGGTTAACTTCATTTATCAAATAGATACAGTCAAACCAAAATGTATTCAGACACCTTCAACATTTCTCACATTATCACAGTTTATTCGCTAGTTTAGAAAATGGTAATAAAATATGACAAGAACTCAGAGTTAAATTGTGTCAGAACAAATTCAGCTTGATAATGTTAGATAATTTTGATAGAAAGGTATGTAATGGATTGCAATCAACCAAAAAGTATTCAGACAGCTGTTAGTATGACAGTATTTACACAACTATCAACACTTAGTCAGGCAGCCCTTAGCCTTAACAACAGCCTGTAGTCTCCTGGGCATGCTGTCACCCAGCTTCATGAACACCTCAACTTCAGTTTTTTCCCCAGACTCGGTCTGAATAATTTTTGGACCCA